CCACCCAAGCTTGATCCACATTTCCGACGGCCAGAGCATCGGTGAAATCTTGCTGTGATTCTGCCCAAGCAACATTCCAGTTCTCAACCTCCACATTGCAAAGCAAGAGTGGTGCGCTTGCCGGCAATCTCCAAGGCGTGGGTAAGCTACCATGCACATGTATATCGTAAATGACTGCATCATGGTCAGCAACACCTAAAGACTGCATTCTTCCGGAAACAACAACTCTGGGAGTTGAAAGCGCGTAGTCAATGACCACCCCTGTGTATTCACCATCTGAGTTGCGATGGGTGCCAGGGCCAATCTGGTCTCCGCAGACTTGTTCATCGCAAGAATACCATTGCCCCGACGCCAGCGCGGTGGAGGCCGGCCAAACATGCCTTTCCCTGTTGAAATCGCCCACAATGATTGCTTCTTCGCCCAGCATAGCAACGTATTCAAAAATGGCAGCCAAGGCGTGGCCAGCAGCTGTTTGATCGTTGGCATGTAGGTACACATTGATCAGAAGAAGCGGTCGCTGGTGAGGTCGAAAAAGCTTCAGCGCCATGGCACGGTCAGCCGGTGCAAACTGACTTGGAATGGCCAACGCTTCAGCAGGCCACTTTGACAAAACTAACGTCCCGCCAATCACCACATTCTTGGCATCTACCCCTTGGCCGCCAGGAAAAACTTGCCACTTTCGCTGGTTTGCAGCTGACTTGACAGCGCTCCAACTGTCGACATTGACTCTAGTTTCTTGCAAACAAAGAACATCGATCTGCTCAGTCTTTGCTAACTCAAAAACGCCACCCAACCGGCCACTCAATGACCGGACATTCATAGTTCCCAACCTTAAAGTGCTAGACGTACCCGTCATTGGTCCGTAGAATCACCTTCCTCTTGCTGAAACCCCAAAATCTCCAAAGCACGGAGCGCCGCTCTCTGCCTCGCCCCAGGTTCTTTGTTGGCGAGCTCCAGCAAGGCGTCTTTGTTGCCTTTTCTCTTTTGGTTCCAAACGGTGCTGTTGGCGCAAGACATTCCACGGAAATGTTTCTCGTCCTTCATGCACCGCTTGCATCTCGTGCAAGCAAAACGGACCGTGAAATCTACCGGCCAGACAAGTGCCTCAATATGGTGTTTGGGCGCAGTGTCTTTGGAGCTTCCCTTGCCTGAGTCAATAATGTTCAAAACTGTACGGGCACCATCCTTGAGAGCATCACTGATGGACGCTTTGTTGAGACAAGCGCGGAGCCTTGCCAGCATCTTCTTCCTCTTGGGGCCATTGCCGGCCACATACTTTTCACAGGACAGCGTAGCAAGCTCCTTTGCTTGATTCGCCATCTTGCCACATTTGCGACAAATAACCTTTGCCATGCCTCCTCTTTTCTGTTTGGCCTTGCCAGTCATAGGGAGGGTAACCAACACTGGTTCGTGGGAACCGGCATCACCTTTTTTGAGGCCCAACAGGCGTTTTGCCATGCCAGCTGCGCGCACTTGAATCGTAGCTTTGGCTGCATTTGCCGCCCTGTAACTTCCATCGCTTTTGAAACGCTGCACATTCGCTTTCGGATGGTGTTCTTCTCTATGCCTCAGTTTCATGCGAAGCACCTGGTCTCTGCTGAGATCGGCATCTTCAGGAATGACCATGTTGCACAAGTGACACTTCCACTTGAAACTCATACCAGGGGCGGCGTGACAAAGCTGACCCATAGCGGGAGTGAGCTTCAACCTCTCCTTCTCATCAGGATGCCAAGCATTGATGTGGGCCTGCTTTTTCTGCGGCCACAGCCTGTGTACCCCTGTGGAATAATCGCACAAAGGACAATTCCATTCCTCCCTTTTTGGGCGTTTGGACGAAGTGCTGCCAGCCTCGTCCTTTTCGCTGACACCAGCGCTGCTCACAGCACGCCGCTCCCGACCTGAAGTAGCAGTCGCAGGGGAGGGATTCCTGCGCCGCTCTGAGCAAGTAGAACCAGGCAAGGAGGCGTCGCGCTTGGAACGCTTCTTGGCGCCCGCCACAGATGGCAGCGCTGACAAACGAGTAGCGCCAGCCGAGTGAGTGCCAGTTTCCGACCCGCCCCCTCTGTTGCCTTGCATAGGGCCAGTGGCGGCTTGCTCCAAAATGCCTGGCGGCAATGCGCCATCCAACAATTCATAATGCTTTCGGCGATACCACAGAGCAATGGCGCCACCTGCTTTCCCTTGGCTGTTGTAAACCTCAGGCACGCCCGTAGGCTGAAAAACTAATATGGGTCTGTCGTAGTGCACGGCAGCTGCAGCACATTCCAAGCTGCTGCCCCAAGCCCCAACCTTTGCAAGCATCTCCATGTACTTTTCCCATGACTCGCACTTCTCTTCCTGTTCCGTGGGCTCCCTTTCGTCCCACCAAGGTTTATACCGACCTTCATGCTTCTTTAAATGGTTCACAACTGCAGCTCTCACGGATCTTGCAGTTTTGCCTCCAATTCCCTGTGATATGGACTCAAACAAACAATTGCCATCAGCAGCTATGGTTCGTGCAATCAAGCCATGAGGTGGCTTGACATCCACTGCAACTCGCTTTGCCGCCAGCAGCTTGGCGGGCGAAGAAGGTTCGCGTTTGTCACCTGCAGCAGCCGAAGCAGCTTTCATAGCTTCATCAGCTTGAACATCACCAGGCTGCGTGGCGCCTGTAGCAGGCGCAGCTGCAGCGTTCTTTTCCTTGAGCGGCGTGCCAATGTAGAAAGACTTTAGCGGTGGCTGTGAGGATTGCACAGTTGCAGGCCCAGTGTTGGAATGGAAATTGACCTTTCCGTAACTGGACAACTTCTTTGTAATGGGCCGCTGAGGTCTCTGCCTGGGCGCTTCAACGACAACAATGGTGTGTTCGCCGGCCTGGATCTCAAGGAAATCAAGATCTCTTTGAGCATTCGCATGTGCCCACCATTCAACTTGCTTGCCCAAAGTTTTGCGAGACAAAATCTTTGGATCTTGCAAGCCAGCACGTGTGATCGCTTCAGTGACCGTGCTGGCTGACCATTCTCGGGGCACACCACTAATGCGCCATGCTCTTGGCTTTGGAATCGGGTCAGATGCTCTGGGCTTTCGGACGCCTAAGCCGCCCCACCCTCTTGCAATGCCAAGATCACCTGCCAAACTTCGGACCTTTTGAAGATAGCTGGGGCCATCAAGGTCAGGACCTTTCTTGATCCATTCAACATCACATGACTCCACCACACTGTTGTTCCATTGGAGAGGTTCGACGAACCACAGACTTTTCCCAGAACAAGAAAGCAAGCCTTTCGCTGCATCTTTCTCAATCCTCAGCAACCCAGTAATGACCGGCTTGCCACCACCCTTCGTGCACTCCTCTTGGAAAGCCCACATGTCAAAAACTTTGGCACCAATGTGGGCGGGCACATGCCTTCGCAACCATGACTGAGCGCTAGCCTTTGGTTTGGCTTGGATGCTCTGCCACTCTTTGCTCAACAAATACTTTGCTTCAACGCTCAACCTCACAACCACCGTCTCAGTCTGAGCTGCAGGAGCAGCAGAAACAACGGCTGCTCTTTTGAGTGTTGGTCCGTTTCCTTTCAAGGCTATCAGGTAAGCCTGCCTTGGCTGAACTTTCCCAGCTATTTTGCCAGGTATGAGCCTCAACTGTCTGCCGTCGATCTGCTTCGCTTCTTTTGGAGCTAACAAAACTGCAGAGACATGCAATTCTCTTGTCTGATCTGTTGCATCACCTTCTGTCAAAACTTTGAGCTCACTCAGTTGCTCTTCCGATTCACACTGCACTGTTGCTGACACATTGCCAGGCTGATCCAACGCACTGCAAAAAGAATCAAAAGTCAAAACTTGGCCGGTCCAGTCCGACTGTCTCAAACACCAAACTGGTTTGAACGGTGCGTTCGTTCGAACTACTTCCACAAAAGACTTGGATGCTTGTGTGGGCTGTTTCTTGTTGGCATCCTGTTTGCGATTGGGAAGCTGCGCAGAAGTGCTAGTAGGATTGGTGATTGGGGCAGAATTGAGCGCTGCATTCCTGTGGCCAAGGCCCGCACCACCATTGTCACCTTCCTGTGTCTTGCGCTCTTTCTTTCTCTTTTTGGGCTTGTTCCCTCCTTTGTTTTTGGAGGTGTCAACAGCTCCAATTTCTTGACCCATCAGAGTGCTAAGTTGCTGAAACAATTTTCCGCTGCCTCCCCCAATTCCCAACAATTGGCAGAGCTGGGTAAGCAGCTTGAGAATTTCTCCTACCTGTTGCAAATTGAAGCCATTAGCTTGCGCATTGCTTTGTTTCTGTTTCCGTCTTCGAGCTGTTGCTCGGCTGCCTGCTCCATTGCCATTAAGGATATGTTGCAAAGCATTTCTGGTTCTGGAAGACACAGCCCAAGTCTTCTGTGGCAAGTCAGTGCAAGCACAACAAGCACACACCACAACTGAACTGTTCGCTTCTGTGCACTGCCTAGGCCTGAAAGCAATGCATAGACCCGCAGCAACCGCGCGGAGGTCGTTCAGGTAGCCGCTCTGATAATACGAAGCAAATCTACGGAAAAGCTTCCAAAATCTGCCAAATCTCGCGGAGTTGCCAAAGCTTCGGTGACAGCAAGGCGTGTGCTGCCCCCTTTTGCAAACCAGTATGCACTGCCTACCTGCACACAAAGCCTGACATTTTTGCAGTGAAGCCATTGGAAAGGTGGGTGAACAACATGCACAATCATGCACATACATGCCCACGCATCTACATCTGTGCAAGGCAGCAAACAGTTTGTGCACATTTGAGACAAAGGCCCGCTCTACCCGTCGCAGCAAAACAACATGGCCACTCTTCCAGAAACTCAGTGAAAGCTAATTTTTAATTTACATGATTATAATGATTATTATTGAAACATATTGTGCACAATATTGAGCATACTGAACCATGAAACCCGCTTAGATTGCGCTTTCTGTAGCCGCCTTAGCCTGTATCTGTATCCCCCTGCACCTCCATCAGCAATCATCAGCACCCCGCACTACTAAAACCCTTTTTGACTTCGCGCCTTTGGGAAGGTCCAGTGCTTTGCGTTGTTGTAGCGAACCAATAAAAACAAGGAGCGGCTCTTCAAGCGCCTTCCACTGGCCAAGGAGCTTCTGAAATATAATGAAACAATTTGGCAATAGGACGTCAATATTCTGTCAATAGTGACAGCTATTGCTATAGTCTATAGATGTCTATAGTATATCTACAATAAGTCTATATAAATACAGTATGCCTTATATGTATAGATCCTTGTAGTATCTACAGTCAAGTCAAATGGCTGAGCAGTTTACGTCTCCAGGCCAGCTGTAAATTTAGCAGGCCTGAGAGCACGCCGGTCAGAGTCATCCACCTATGCAACAGGATGCAACAGGTAGTCACTCGTACAGTGAAAGTTCGCACGTGTGCTCTCTGGTCCTTGCACTTCTTGCGCACTTCTTGTGCAACTAACGGGTTTTTTTGACCTGGCTTTTAGCGATGCCTTCTCCTCCTTTTTTCTCTCCACCTGCAAATGAACGTGAAGCAAAACACACAACATCTGCTGCAAGCGTCTTCACCCTGCAAACAACAAATTGCAGTGTCTGTAGTTGCAGTCTGCCTTCTTCCTTTGAATGGTCTTCGGCCCAAGTTCGGGGAATGCCAAGTCAAGGCCCTGACAAAAGTCGTGACCATGAATAAGACTTGACGCACTTGTTCCCGCACTGAAAACGCTTGCCTCCTCTCCCATGACCAAATCCAACCCTCCTGGAGCCTGACAAACCCACTGAACTAGTCCGGTTTCTACATTGGGTGGCTACAGGTGAGACGTTCTGCGTTTGAAGTGAGAGGGCAGACAAAGCGACCCAATCTGGAGGGCTGGGGAAAGCACCACTTGTACGAAGCCAACAGCCAAAGCAGCATCAACCAAAAAAACAAAAACAGCGTTGCAGGGCATATGGAGAGGTCCACATCAATCAGTAGATAAATATGCGTTCTTTTCCCGGATTTTGGGGCCCGATTCTATACTTGGGACGTTCAACTCCTAAATATCCAATGGGCCAATATCCTCCCGAGCGTGATCCCTGGGTTCCCGGCTCTGGCACTCATCGCAGACACTAAGGTGTCAGTGCTTGCGCTACCAGATGCTAACTTTGATGTACCACCGCCTAAGCTTGGAATGGTCCACAACCAAATCAAAAACTCAAAGTACGGGAAAGTACAGGAATCCACTCACGCTTCCTGTCGGTGATATTGTGGACTTTAGTGAAGACATACTGCAACAACAATGCTGTTTTCAAGTGGTGGCAACCTGCTTCCTCAGAGCGCTTAAATGTTATTTCCTCTTGCCGGGTGTGCAAAACGCAACCAGCCGCATACCACCATAGCAACAAAAAGACAAAAAGTCCAGAAATCCGAACTGTAGGGTTGTAGGGCCTATTCAAAATCACGGAAGAAAGGTTCTTTGAAGGATTCTTCCAAGATAAACGTACCTTGTCTACTCCTACCATGGCCAGGGATGGCCAGGGTAGACTCAACATAGTTCAATAAAGGCCCCAATGGACCGAGGTATAATCAAAAATGTTGTCTTTCTCTTCCGTTTGCGAGCGTTCTTGAGCGCAGAAATTTTGCTTCAACTTCGGCCCACCCTCCCCTGAAAGGCTCGAACACCATGAGACACCTCTCAATTAAGTTCTTGGCCACGTTGGCCACATGTGGGAACTTGTCTTGGGACCAAACGTCGCTTGCGGCCCCCTCCTCCAGCGCCACTTCTTGACAGACTTCTGAGCCTCAGTCTTCAAAATGGAAAAAATGATTCTAGATGACTGCTATGTGATGGGTGGTGCAAGGACAATTACTCTTGACAATTCACCCACTAGAAAGTTAACCGGAAAACTTCAAATACTTCAAATGCTGCAAACAACTACAAGAAAGGTAGCAGTTTGGGCAGTTTTTGAAGCAGGATTTTCCTGGAAGACGTCGATAGACTGGCCAGGCGCAAGAGACACACCGCGCGTGGGAGAACAACACACATCGACACACTACATGAGCAAGCAGCTTTTGCGGTGAAAGACAGTTGAATTGAATAAAACAGAAGAACATGAAATATCATGAGATAATAATCCAATGACATGAATTGATATACAAATTACATGGGTGAAATCATACATCAAGCCTGGGCCAAGACTTGTTGCACACAGACTTAGTACATCAAGCAGCTATCTGCATATGCAACCTTTGCTTGGCGGAACTGACACATTGTACAGCAAAAGCCTCTTGCACCAATAAAATCATCGCAGCCCCCAGCCCCCAGCGTAAAAACAACCGATACACGTAGTTTCACAGCTTAGGAGAAAGATTCAGCCTTTGTTCAAGTCCACTCATGGGGTCCCCTACTGAGTGAAGCAGCCATGCAACTTGATATGCATATTTTTTGCGGAACTGCCGAGGGCAATTCTGTGCAGTTCATATCGACAACAGAGAACACACCCTGACCTAGCCATACCACCTCAGCTGAGAAAACGCACAGTTTGTTGATGATTCTTATAAGACGATGGTCTGGGTTCCGAACGGGTGCCGTGCCAACTGGTCAACGTGTGTAGAATATGTTGCTACGTTTGCGCGCATGTCCCCATTGGATGGTTTCTCGGAAGGATTGAATCGAATGGAATGTTTCAAATCAAAGAACAATGAAGAATGCGCTCGGACAAAAGTCAGTGCATGACAAGCGTTAACCTGAATTGTCACACTAGAAGATCCTTATGAGATTCCAAAGAGCTAAATGTTGTACACACAAAGAGAAGCTAGCGACCTTTAGCTGCAAAGTTCCTCCCCTACTCTCTGTCATTACTAGGCGTATTTATATTTATACATACATAATACTTATTATATATATATTACACATATTATATTATCATTTATATATGCGTGTGTGTGTTATGTTACGTTGTGCAATGTGATCTAATCTATACCAGTAGTACCGCACAAGGCGGTGGCGGAAGTTTCAAAGATAGGGCACTATAGGAGAGGTGAGTTGTTGCGATGCATGGATGGCAGAATGAAGCCATTGTTCCCGAAAGGTGGTTGGTGTGTTGGTTGTCTATCTATCTATCTATCCATCTATCTATCTATCCATCCTATCTATCTATCTATCTATCTATCTATCTATCTATCTATCATCTATCTATCTATCTATCTATCTATCTATCTATCTATCTATCTGTCTATCTATCTATCTATCCATCTATCTATCTATCTATCATCTATCTATCTATCTATCTATCTGTCTATCTATCTATCTATCTATCTATCATCTATCTATCTATCTATCTATCTACCTGTCTATCATCTATCTGTCTATCTATCTGCCTTTGGACTTATCTGTCCGTCTATCTATCTGTCTTTCGATCTATCTGTCTTTCGATCTCTCCATCTGTCCATCTATCCGTCTATCTGTCTGTCTATCGGTAGATCTATCTATCTGTCTATCCGTCTATCTATGTATCTGTCTACCTATTTCCCGCCTATCTACTATTTGTTGATCGATTTTTCTGTCTATCTATCGGTTTGGCTGTCTCTCTCTCTCTCTCTCTCTCACTATGTATTTTTCCGTCCGACGGTCTATCTTTCCGTCTTTCTTTCTCTCTACGTATCTATCTAGTGTCTATCTATCTATTTATCCGGCGATCTGCCTATCTGCCTGTCTGTCCATCTGACCATTTGAGTATCTATCCATGCATCTATCTATTTTCTACCTGTCTATCTAATCTAGTCTATCCATCTATTTTTGAAAAAGCCTTGGTGACATGATCGCGTGAACAAGTTGCATATCAGCAGGACAACAGATTTGAAGGTGTAAATGTTGGATTTCAACAAAATCCTTTCTTGGCGGCTCGCTTCCAAAACACTTGTCCTTTCTTCACGGACTCCTCTGCTTGACACTGAATTATATAAAAATAAACACTTGGAACAGAACCACGTTTTGGTTTGGGACTTCGTCAATGCTGAAATTCACAACATCAAAAAAGAAGAAATTCTGCGAGACTTCCTCAAAATTCCGAAGCGGATAACATCAAAAACGCAACAATTTTGCGAGGCCTCCTTCAAAAATGGAAAGTCGAGTGTAGCGCTGACGGCCTCGTGCTGCATCTGTGTAAAGTGCTGCGCCTGCCACGAAGAAGTGAGGCCAGGTTATACAAAGTGCTGCACCTGTGATGCAGAATCATCTTCGCAAACTTGAAGATCTGATGCACCAAACTGCAACCAACCCTTCTCAGGAAATCTGCTCCCTGACCTCTTGTAAATATTTATATAACATGTCTGATGAAGATGTCTCTTGTACAGCGCTTGCCACGCGAAATTCATCTTTGCAGATGTTCTTCAAATGCCCCACGCCTGCCATCGTTTTTGAAAATTCCTACAAAACCCACACACCTAGCTCACTTTTGTACAGGTGCAGAATCCACTGCGCTTGCCAGACGACGTCTGAACGTCCAAAAATGGTCCGAACGTGGTGTGCTTTGCGCATTTTTAACTTCAAGATCTGCTTCGCACCACAACGGCGTGCACTGCTTGAACATCTCAACCTCCGGAGCTGAGGTGCTTTGCACATTTTGACTTCAAAATGCGCTTCGGGCCACAACCCCGTGCACTTTTTCAACATCCCAACTTCCGAAAATGCTCCGGAGCTGAGGTGATTTGCGCATTTCGACTTCAAAATGTGCTTCGGGCCATAACCCCGTGCACTTTTTCAACATCCCAACTTCCAAAAATTCTCCGGAGCTGAGGTGCTTTGCGCATTTTGACTTCAAAATGTGCTTCGGGCCACAACCCCTTGCACTTTCAACATCCTAACTTCCAAAAATGCTCCGGAGCTGAGGTGCTTTGCGCATTTTCACTTCGAAATGTGCTTCGCTCCACAATGCCTTGCGCTTTTTCAACATATGAACTTCCAAAAGGGCGTCGGACGTGAGGTGCTTTTAGCTTTTTGACTTCCAAACGCGCTGCGCGCCACAGCGGCGCGCAATTTTTCATATCTCATCTCGCCACATGGCTCCGCCCGCCGCTTTACCAAGCCTACTTTTCGACCTTCCGGGGCCACAAAACATCGGAAAAACACAGCGTGTCGCAGCTTTTCTACCTTTTCGCGCGCCTCATCTTCGTTCTACTGGCTCTCTCTCTCTCTCTCTCCTTTGACTTCTTCTTTTCTTACTCTCTCAGCCTTTCTCCGGTTGCTCTCACCACTGTTGCTGCATCTGTCCATTTTGCTGGAAGTTAGACTTCTGAACTTCCTTCGATAACTGCATCTATACCATTCGTAGTACCGCACCAGGTGGTGGCGGAAGTTCCAAAGATAGGACATGATAGGAGAGGCGAGTTGTTGTAATGCATGTATGGCAGAGCGAATCCACTGATGGACTGAAAGGTGGTTGGAGTTGTGTTTTTTGGAATGGTTGCAGTGGTTGCAGTGGTCACCTCACCCGCAACTGCTGGATGTAGCGTGGTGTAGCGCAGTTGTAGTTGTTGTGTAGCTTAATGGAGTTGTATTGTAGTGCAGTGTAATTAGGGTAGTGTAGTGTAATTTGTGTAGTGTAGTTGTAGTGGCAATTGAGGTTGTAGTTGTGGTGTGGTGTAACTAGCGTAGTGTAGTGTAGTGTATTGTAGTGTACTGTAGTGTTGTGCACTGTAGTGTAATATAGTCTAGTGTAGTGTAGTTTTTAACGTAGCGTAGTGTAAAATTAAAAAAGTGTAGTTGTCGAAGGAAGTTTAGAAGTCAAACTTCCGACAATATGGACAGGTGAAAAGCACTAATTACACTACACTACACTCCACTACACTACACTACACTGAATGACACAGCCTTACACCTACAACTACAACTGCAACTGCAGCTGACATTACACTACACTAATGACATTACACTACACTACACTACATTACACTACATCACACTAACTACAACTACAACTACATAAGACTACACTACACTAATTACATTACACTACACCCCACTCCACTACACTACACTACACCACAGGACACTACACTACACTACACTAACTACAACTAGAACTACAACTACAATACATTGCAGAACGCTACATTACATTGCAACTACAAGTACAAGTACAACTACAACTACAACTACAATACAGTGCAGAACACCACACTACACTACACTACACTACACTACACTCTACACTACACACTACACACTACACACTACACACTACACACTACACACTACACACTACACACTACACTACGCTACACTACACCACACTACACTACACTACACTAATTGCATTACACTACACTACACTACACTAATTGCATTACACCACACCACACTACACCACACCGCACTACACTCAATTACACTACGCTACACTACCCTACCCCACATTGCATTACATTACATGACATCTCACTACACTCATTACACCACCACAAATGCAACTGCAACTACACTACACTAATTACACTACACCACAACTACAACTCCACTACACTACAACTACAACTACAGCTGCACTACACCACACTACATCCAGCAGTTGTGGGTGAGGTGACGGACCAGGTGAACACTGCAACCATTGCAGCCACTCCAAAAAACACAGCTCCAACCACCTTTCGGTCCATCAGTGGATTCGCTCTGCCATCCGTGATTCACAACAACCAATCTCTCCTATAGGTTTCCTATTTTTGAAACTTCCGCCACCGCCTTGCGCGGTACTACTGGTAATTGTAGTTGTAACTGTAGTTGTCGTGTAGTGTGAATAGTGCAGTGTAGTGTGAATAGTGTAGTGTAGTGTGAACAGTGTAGTGTAGTGTGAATGGTGTAGTGTAGTGTGAATAGTGTAGTGTAGTGTGAATAGTGTAGTGTAGTGTTAGTGTAACGTGGTGTACTGTAGTGTACTGTAGTGTAGCGTAGCGTAGCGTAGTGTAAGTAGTGTAGTGTAGTGTAATGTAGCGTAATGTCGCGTAGTATTTCTGCATGTGCATTTGTAGTCGCAGTTGTAGCTGTAGTGGTAGTTGTAGCTAGTTGGAGCTGCATGTGGAGTTGTAGCTGTAGTTGTAGTGGTAGTTGTGGCTGTAGTTATTGCTGCTGTTGTTCTTGTAGTAGTAGCTGCAGTTGTAGCTGTAGTAGTTGTAGTTGTAGTTGCAGTAGTAGTAGTTGTTGATGCTGTTGTTGTCGTAATCGTGGTAATCGTAGTCGTTGTTGTTGTTGTCGTCGTTGTTGCTGTGGTGGTGATGGTGGTGATGGTGGTGGTGGTGTAGTGTGGTGCAGTTCAACGTCCAAAAGTGGCCGAACATGGTGCGCCTTTCACATTTTGACTTGGACATGTGCTTCGCGCCAAAAAGCCGTGCACTTTTTCAACATATTATGAACTTCCAAGAATGCTCCGAACCTGTCAGTTTTTTACACTTTCTTCGCGCCACGATGGCGCGCACTTTTTCAACATCTCAACTTCGAAAAGTGTTCCGAACCCATCAATTTTTCACACTTTTCACTTCGAACTGTGCTTCGCGCCATGACAGCATGCAATTTTTCATCTCTCAGCTGGCCAGATGGCTCCGCACCCGCCGCTTTAGCGAGCCTCCAGAGCCACAAAACACTGGAAAAATACAGTGATTCGCGACTTTTCTACATTTTCCCGCGCCTGCATCTTCTTTCTTCCGACTACATCTCTTCTCTGATGTTCTTTCTTCTTCTCTTCTCTTCTCTTCTCTTCTCTGACTCTTCCCACCTCTCCTTTTTCATCTGTCCATATTGTCGGAAGTTTGACTTCTAAACTTCCCTCGGTAATCTATATGTCTATAGTCTATATGTATGTTCTTGAAATATCGGCAACCAACAAAGCAAGTCTTGCTAATCATGAATAAATCCCGGCTACATGCGTCCATGGATTTTTGTTGCAGTATATCGACTGCTTTATCTAGGTGTCTTTAGGTGTGTTTAAGCCCGCGACAGGGCCGGGGCTTCACCAGAAGCAAGGGCTTGTGTGGCGGTCTTGTCCTGGGGGGGAAGTCAGCTCTGATGGCCTCTGCCGTCAATCCACATACTGCTCCTAAAGTTACAAGTGCTACAAGATACTACAAGCATACTTGATCTGATTTTGAGCATTTGAAGGGAGAATTGTAGAACTTCACTTGCGGACATCGCATCCAACAATTACGCACGAGCAAAAATTTCTTTCGGCTGAATCACAATGACACTGAGGACATTTCACTCATCACAGTATCGTCTGAGGATTGGGGATACTCCGCACATCTGTTCCGAGGACTGTGGTGGCACTCAACTGTTCAAAGACCTCACATACAAATCATCCGTATTCAGCTCTTTGGTCAAACGTTCTTCCATGTCAAAACAAAAAGTCTCTTGCTTCGGGCCCTGTCCACGAAATCAATTCCAACTGCACATAGTCCTGAAAAAAATGGAAGTGGAATCGCATGAACACCTTGGCAACAGAAAGAAGTAATGGTCGGGCAAACATCGCGACAGTGAAAACCAACAAGCGAAAATGAAGCAGCCGAGGCTCAATTTCATCTTCCAAAGTTAAATGATTGCCTGTCCGCAAATCCCAAGCCTGAACGTCCACTTTGGCAGGGAAAGGGTCGTTCTACAAGTCGATTTGTCATGTCAAGCACGGTAAATAGATGTAGATAAAAATATGTAAATAGAATTTTACAGTATCAAGTAATGCCGAAGTTATGTATCGATATAGTCAGTTCCGACCTCCTGATCAATACGGTTGCTCTGCCACCGCCTGCCGTAGCCCGGGCCTCTTTGAAAGCTCGCCACTTCTGCTTGTAGTCTGGCTCTACAATTTGTAGCGGAGGCCGCTCCACGCAAAGAGCACCCTTTCGAGGCGGAAAAATCTGCTTAAGCAGCATCACTTCTCTCTCTCTCTCTCTTTCTAAGTTGCTTCGCCAAGTCAAATTACATAAAATGACTGGCAATGAAATCGACAGGTTGACATAGTCAACAAGGCAGTCGTCAACAAGGCGATGCAATGCGATCAGCTCGGCAGGAGGTGGTCCTGGATTTTGAGACCCTTGTGGACAGAGATCGACTCCGCGTGCTGCCTCGCCTGCGCTTGGTCTCTGCAAACCAAGAAGCAAAATAAGGGAGGGTCAACATGCTGGATACAAGTTTGGTTCCAATTTGCAATTCTTGTGGTCAAGAAAAACTTGACGCAGCCCCGGGGCATTATATCTTCTTTGGGATCTTGCTGATGTGAATTTGACGCCCACTTTAGAAAGCGGAATTAAGATATTAATACGAGATAAGATAAATGACTATAGAAAGGATGAAAAACTGTAAAGTTCAAAAGCAAAAAGCAAATAAGGGCTTTGACAAAACTTGAACTTGTGGGAAAAAGGAAAAGAAAACACCAAAGAGCACTATTTGAAGGTTTCTGGACACTTTGTTGTCTCTTCTTCTTACCAAATGCGATACGGAAACTAGGACAACTGCAAAAAGTAAATTTCAGATATATATATATATATGATGATGATATATACAGGTTATGTACATCTGATGGCAGCGCATGAAATCAACAAATTTAAATTTGGCTCTGTGCTGGGCTCATTCAGTGCAAGTGTTCGACCACCTTATTCAATGCTCGGCTTTGACTATTCACTTCAAAGCAAGCAATGAAAAAACACCGGGGTCTCGTGGGGGTTCTGGTGGTCTTTGTTGTTTTTTTAGTCGTAGTTTTCGTGCTCGGTGGCCGTGGTGGCCGTGGTGGCCGGCGGTGGTGGGTGGTGGTGGCTGAAGGTGGTGGTGGCAGCGGGTGGCAGCGGGTGGCCTGTGGTGGTAGTGGGTGGTTGGTGGTGGCCGGTGGTGGGCCGGCGCTGGCTGGTCGGTGCTGGTCGGTGCTGGTCGGGGGTGGCCGGGTCTGGGTGTGTCAAGGTGGATGGTCATGGTGGTGGGTCGTGGGTGATGGGTGGATGGTGGTGGGTGCTGGCGGGCCGTGTGGGTCTCTTTCGACTCATTTCATCCCATTTGTGTGGCTGGCGGCATGCTACCCCATCACTGGTGCAACTGATCAAAGAAAAGATTGCCAGCTGTGGTGCGACATCTTAAATGAAGGATCTGCCTCTGTCGCATAGCTCCGGCACACTTTCAACTCAGGTATGGGGCGCACCCGACTTTCAACTCAAAACGCTGTGATGCTCAAGGTGTTTCAATGCTTGACATCGGGTGCACCAAGCTGCGGCCTCAGCATACACGCATCGAATGCAAGTTAAAATCTTGCAGGCTGGGTGTCCAACAGCACATCTGGCTCTAGCCAGAGTGGCCATGGCATTTTCAAGATGCGGAACTAGAACAATGCACTTCTGCTTTGTCTACAACTCATACTCTGGAAAAATGAACAAATAAACAGTCACAGCTTATCAAAACATCCGTGTCTGGGATCGCGATTTGTTTTACAGAAATCTAGTTTGTGTATCTGCATCCAGAAAAATAATGAGATCAAATAAAGTCTGACCGTCTGGGGTCTATCTGCCGTCTGGTTTGGCGTTAGGTTCCGAGCAAGTGGACGTTGTAAAGTTTCGTGAGGCTGCTTGGGTTCTATGCGTTTCTTATTCTTGTCTCTTTTACTGGGTCTGCTTTGTCTCCCAGGAGGTTCAACATGTTACGCAGCTGCGTCATGGCAACCACTTCGTTTGTTTCCAAAACTTATTCGCTCTTCGTTCGGTAGGTGCCAACTTCGTCAAACGCTTGGTACTGGCCGTGCTCTATTTATGCTTGAGGTGTCTTGGCTAACCGGCTATGCTTGACAACGCGGTGCAGCTCAAGAACTAGTCAAACTGCACAAATAAACTAAGAAGCATGGTTTTCTTCTTTCCCAAGTAGTGATTCTCCTCTGTTGGTAGATTAACAAGATCAACATGAGATGGAAACGAAACTCAATTTGGCCACAAGTACGAAAAAGAGCCACTCAATCTTAACAATAAAGGGAAGAAAGCAAAGTGCCAGATCTGAAAAGAAAACCTCACCTTTGGCCATCGCAGCCATAGTCCTAAAAACAAAGCAACAGTTGCGGCCTTGGGCGAACAACTTCTGGCCTTCTGAGCAGCAAAAACTTCCATGTGCTTCAAACATCATCACTACAACAAGTTCCGGACAACCAAGGGAAAAAGCAGAACGAGCCATCCAAAGACAGGTGACTCCAGTTGGCTCAGTTGGCTCAGTTGGCTCCGTTGGCTTTGGCCGCTTTGGCAGCACAGCCTTAAGCCGAGCTAGTCGAGAATTGGATGCGCACCGACTCGGCCAAACTCAGCTAGTTCCGGAGGCTCAATTCCAAACCAGCGCAATCTGTCTATCTGATCAATAGACGACGCCTTGACCAAAAAAACACAAGAGGAGAGGTGTTACATTAAGTTGCTAACACGCCGACTGACTGAACCTCCAGGAACTGTACACTATCAAAAAGCAAACACAACTTTTGTTGTGCTGCTACTTTTCTCTGCTAAGAAAAAACATTTTGAATCCTGCTCTGTTTGAAGACCGGATGACAAAAAAATCTGGATACATGGCTGATTTGGTAGAAACACATAAAAAAGATTGGAAACATTGGTAAATGCCTCAATTCCATGTGTAAAACTTGGCTGTCCGTTTTGGCTGGGCCTCACTGGCCTACGATTCACATTGAAGTGAATCTAGATATGCTTTCACTGCCTCAGCCAGACGCGATGGGATCCACAAAGTTCTGCAAAACTTACGAAAATAAACGAAAACCTCAGAGCTCGAGGCAAGGCAGGCATTCCTTTGGGCCAGTTTCTTCCCTTGCAGAATCACGCGGAAAATATCCAGCTCTGCCAAAAAAAAACGAATTCTGAAGATTGAGAATTGATCTGGCACATTTGTCATCTATATCTGCCTCATTCTCAAAGCAAATTTGCCGTGCCAGGTTCAGATCTGCCTCTGCACCAATCACCCTCAAAGGTACGTCCCAAGGATGGTACCTCCGGCAACATATGTGCTGGTGCCACTGGTGATGCCACGGTGGCTCAATTAATCCAGTTTTGCAACCCAACAGCAGTGACGGTTCCCAATTCAAGGTGAGAAGGTCCCCGGGCTGCATTTTGGACTCGTGGAAGCAGTATGACACACAAAGTGGACGACACAGTGAGAGACAAAATGGGAGACAAAGTAGTTTGAGACAAAGTGTGGGACACAGCCGGAAACAAAGTTTGAAACAACACGGGAAACAAGTGGGCAACAAGGAGGCAAAGTGGGAGACACATAAGAGACAAAGCGGGAGACAAAGCTGGAGACAAAGCTGGAGACAATGCTTGAAAAAAATGGGAGACAAACTGAGGGATAAAGTGGGAGAAGCATGAAACAAAGTGAGAGTCAAAGTGGGAGACAAAGCGGGGACCAAGTGGAAGGCAAAAGGGGACACACAGTGGGAGACAGTGTGGTGGACAAGCTAGCAAACAAAGCGGGGACAAAGCGGAAGACAAGCTGGGGACAAATTGGGTGGACACAGTGGGGACAAACTGGGGGGCGAAGTGGGAGAGAAAGCGGCAGACAAGCTGGGAGACAAAGCCGGAGACAAGCTGGGAGACATAGCCGAAGACAAAGCTTCAGACAAAGCAGAAACAAAGTAGGAGACGAAGTGGGAGACAAAGTGCGAGACAAAGTGAGAGACAAAGTAGGTGACACAGTGGAATAGTTGAAGACGGAAGACGCAAAAGCGGGAAACAAAGAAAGTGGAGAAAGTGGTAGGCAAAGTGAGACAGAGCCGGAGACAAAGTGGGACACAAGCTGGGAAACAAAGCGGGAGACAAAGTGAGAGACAGAGCGGGTGACACAGTGGAATAGTAAGACACAGAAGCGGGAGACAAAGCGGAAGACAAAGTGCGAGACAGCGGGAGAGCGGGAGACAATGCGGGGGACAAGGTGGAAAATAAAGCGGGGGACAAAGCGGGAGGCGAAATGGGAGACAAAGTGGGGGGACACAAGGGGATACAAAGCGGGAAACAAAGCACAAAACAAGCGGGAGACAAAGCGGGCGACAATTGAGACAGATTTTGCAGACAGTAAACCAGGACAGAAGAAAAGTTGGAGACACAGTGGGAGACAAAGTGGGAGACAAGCGGGGGGGATCAAGTGGGAGACAAGCTGGGAAAAAATAGTCAGGGACAAAGTTTGAGACAAAGTGGGAACAGAATGGGAAACAAAGCAGGAAACAGAATGAGGGACAGAGTGAGTGACATAGCGGAGTATGGAAGACACAAAAGCAGGAGACAATCTGGGAGACACAAGCACGGCATGGAACAACAACAGGGAGATAATGGGCAATGGGGGGGCAATGGGAAGACAATGGGAAACAATTTGGAAGCAAATGGGCGGGAAGTGGGAGAGAAGGCGGGGCACAAGAGCAAAACTAGAGAAACAATGGCGAGAAAACCGGGAGAGAATTGAAAGACGGAGGGGGGACAAGGTTCCGAGGTTCTAGTGGAAGACACAATGGGTGAAAAAGCGGGAGACACTTGGGAGACAAGTGGGAGACAGCTGGGGTTCCAGTGGAAGGCACAATGGGAAGCAATGGGGGGGAGAGAAGGTTCTCAAAGTTCCAGGTGCGCGACACAGTGGCAGACAAGGTTCCAAGGTTCCTGGGTGAGAAGTTGGAAACACACTTGGAAACACCGTGGAAGACACAGCAGGAGGAGACACAATGGGAGGCAAGCTGGAAGACAAGCAGACAAGGTTCCAAGGTTAAAAGCGGGAAACACATGAGAAAAACAGCGGGGGACAGTGGGAGACAAGGTTCCAAGGTTCCACAACACTGTGGGAGACACAGTGCGGCACATTGTGGGGAGACAAGCTGGGAAACAAGCAGGAGACAAGGTGGGAAACAAGGCGCCGGACAAGGTTCCAAGAGGAGACAAGGTGGGAGACAAAGCAGCAGACAAGGTTCCAAGGAGACAGCGCGACACGCAGTGGAAGACAAGCTGGGAAACAAGCGGGAGACAAGGTGGAAGACAAAGTTCCAAGCGAATACATGCGAGAAACCCAACAGCTTCCTGCTGTCGGGAATTAACCCAGCTTTGCAACCCAACAGCAGCAAGGGTTCCAACGCCTGAGATTCTTGACAAACAAGGTCAGACAGTGGGGGAGACAAGGTGGGAAACAAGGTGACAGACAACGTGAGACACACAGTACCAAACAAGCTGAGCTGGGAGACAAATGTAAGACAAGCCGCAGTAGGCAAAGTTCCAAGGTTCCACGTGGGAGGCACATGGGAGACAAGTGGGAGACAGACAAGTGAAAGACAGGTGGGAGACAAATGGGAGACAAGTGGGAAACAAGTTGGAGACAAGTGGCAGAAAGGTGGGGGACAGACAAGTGGGAGACAAGTGGAAGACAAGTGGGAGACAAGTGGGAGACAACTGGGAAACAACTGGAAGACAAGTGGGAGACAAGTGGCAGACAAGTGCGAGACAAGTGGAAGACAAGTGGGAGACGAGTGGAAGACAAGTGGGAGATAAGTGGGAGACAAGTGGGAGACAAGCGCAGACAAGTGGGAGACAAGTGGGAGACAGATGGAAGACAGGTGCGAGCCAAGTGGGAGACAAGTGGGAGACAAGTGGGGGGACAAGCGGGAGACAAGTGGCAGACAAGTGGGAGACAAAGAGACAAGTGGGAAACAAATGGAAACAAGTGGGAGGCAATTGGGGGACAAGCGGGAGGCAAGTAGGAGACAAGTGGGAGACAAGCAGGGGACAAGCGGGAGACAAGTGGCAGACAAGTGGGAGACAAGTGACAGACAAAGAGACAAGTGGGAGCCAAGTGGGAAACAACTGGAACAAAGTGGGAGACAAGCGGGAGACAAGTGGGAGACAGATGGAAGACAAGTGGTAGACAAGTGGGAGACAAGTGGGAGACAAGTGGAAGACAAGTGGCAGACAAGTGGGAGACAAGTGCGAGACAAGTGGGAACCAAGTGGGGCCGGGAAACAAATGGAAACAAGTGGGTGACAAGTGGGAGACAGGCGGCAGACAAGTGGGAGACAAGTGGGAGACAAGTGGCAGACAAGTGCGAGAGAAGTGGGAGACAGATGGAAGTCAAGCACGAGACAAGTGGGAGACAAGTGGGGGACAAGTGCGAGACAAGTGGGGGGGACTTGTGGGGGACAGACAAGCGGGAGACAAGTGGCAGACAAGCGGGAGACAAGTGAGGGACAAGTGGGAGCCAAGTGGGGCTGGGAAACAAATGGAAACAAGTGGGAGACAAGTGGGAGCCAAGTGGCAGCCAAGTGGGAGACAAGTGGGAGGCAAGCAGGGGACAAGTGCGAGTGCGAGGCAAGTGGGGGGCAAGCGGGAGACAAGTGGCAGGCAAGTGGGAGACAAGTCAGAGACAAGTGGGAGCCAAGTGGGAAACAAATGGAAACAAGTGGCAGGCAAGTGGGAGACAAGTGGGACACAAGTGGGAAACAAGTGGGAGAGACAAGTGGGAGAGACAAGTGGCAGACAAGTGGCAGACAAGTGGCAGACAAGCGCGAGACAAGTGGGAGACAAGTGGGCGCGAGACAAGTGGCAGACAAGTGGGAGACAAGTCGGGGACAAGTGGGAGACAAGTGCAGGACAAGTGGGAGACAGATGGAAGACACGTGGCAGACAAGTGGCAGACAAGTGGGAGACAAGTGGGAGACAAGTGGAAGACAATTGGCAGACAAGTGGGAGACAAGTTAGAGACTCGCAGACAAGTGCAGACAAGTGGGAGAAAAGGTTCCAAGGTTCCCAGAACCCTGCTGCGTCCCGATCGCCAAGATGGAAAAAATCGGGATACCACCCCCCTGCTTCTAGAGATTGAAACCCAACAGCTTTTTGCTGTTGGGAATTATATAGATAGAAGTATACTTTGCTGAAAACATCTGGGAAAATCTGGAAGCGTCTGGAAATTGCCTTCAAATCATGGTCCTTACCTTCTCTTATCTTGAGTCGCAAACACCATCAGAAAGCATCTGCTGCCTTTGAAGATTCGCGGCTAAGAGTGCAATTACCAGGTGGAAGAAGGAAAGACCAGGCACACCAGTCCAATTTGGAACGATTTATTGAGCCAATTGCAACAAGTATCAAATCTCGGATGTACATGATGCACATACAAATTTGCATGACGAGCCGGAAAACGGACAAGGAAGCTGGCGGGAAGCCGGCTTGATTCTGCCAGAGATTGGGAAAAAGTGCTGACGCCAGAGGTCAAAGCAACTCTCCAGTGGGAAAACAAAGGCTGAGGAATGACAGCAGCTTCTGGCTTCACGCCTCAATCACAAATGTCGCTGCACGATGACATTGCTGCACATGCACACCCGTCGAAAGAAACATAGGAGGAGGTCGCGATAGAAACGGCAGCCTCGCTTGATTCACTTTTGGTGTATTCAAATTTCTTTTTGGTACCTTGAAAGCATTCAGCGTGGAATAGGGGACTAGAAAATGCGCTTCAATCCCGCGAATTGATATTGTCTACCTACTTTTGCCGCCGAAGTGTCCGAATCTTCAAAGAGGTGAAACGACACTGGAAAAATTGCTAGCCTTTCCTGATGAAACCTTGCTTTTGACCCTGCATCTTTGGCCGCATCAGCATTTTTACACACATCTATCTTACTTGAGCAACACGACTCGCCCAGTCGCATCAACATAGACCCTATATTCTCTGGATATCAGAAACTAATAAGCACATCTAGTTTGGCATCCAAAAACGGCTTAGTTTCCACTACTACACTGGGTTTTGTCAAGCCAAGGCAGCCATGGTGCGTGCTCAGCAGCAGGTGGTCACAGAGGTGCCGTGGCACCAGCATCGCAACCACAAAGGCAGGACTCTTGGGACTCTTAGGACCCTTGTTCTTCGGAACAGTCCCATCAGCAAGTGTCTTTGGGGGAAAGGCTTGATAAAGGCTTCAAAAAGGGTTTCTTGCTTGAATTGGTACGTTTGTTTCCCCATGTCTTCCAAACTTTTTTAACGCACTTTGGGAAAGAATGCCTTTTTTGCCAGGCATAACATCAGGAGGGTTGTTTGTTTGGGAGGTATCTTGGCCGTCTTAGCAGTGCGCACGACTGTGCAAGTTGTTGCGCCCAGGCAGAAGCTTTCCACAATTTCGGATTTCTTTGGTATAGTGGAAGCCCAAAATATTTTCGCTTTTGTTTCAACCTGACGAATGTCGACTTGTGTTTTTTTCGAGAAGCTACCAGGATCTACAACATGTTTGACGAAGGAAGCGGCCCCTTGGCCTCTGCGACTGCACGAAACACTTGTGGATCATCTTTGGAAGCGTTGTAGGTCCAAACCTAGACATGAATATTTGTCAACAAAGCGGCATCAATTTTTGTTTGATCAAATACGGCAACGATCCAAACCTCCAAAATATATCAAAATATCACGGCCATTATAGATCTCCTCCCCTGCTACAAATAGGGTCTGACACCGAGTTCTCAGCCCAAACTTTCTCTCCAGCTGCAGTGTCCTGAGGCGGCCAATTTTCATCTCAATTTTTGAAAGAACGCCTGAGGACAGCCGTGGGGGGCGAAAGGTTTCACTCGTGTTGTAAAATTAGATCAAGCTTGAAATGACCACCGACCAGAACAGCGCATTTACATACCAAACACTTTCTCACGTGGTATCAACTGCTACCCCCTCCCAGCCACCCACGGGCAGCAAGGCATCGGCTGGCGACCAGCACAGCTGAGCACAATCAGAAAAACATAGAAAAAGAATGCTGCTGCACCAACTGCTAACTACTTGGCTTCAAAGCTTGAAACCTGATCCTCCGAGGGTGTTCAACGCAGTGAAGCCGGCATGGAAAAATCCATAGTGGTCAGCAGGTGGCACGTAGGCCAGGGGAGGCAAGCAGTTGGCATAATATTTGGCCATGGGCCTCAGAAATCAACCATCACCAACAGATTATATAAGAGCAACTTCATCCCTTCAATTTGGAGTCTTTTTGTTTTGAATCAGTGTCAACTGCCCAGAATCCAGTAGATCGTGATTCATGGCCAAAAGTGTTGCCCTATCTTATATCAATTTAATATCTGCATCTCTGAGATATTGAATTCAAATGATTGTTGCTTCACTTTGTCCAATCATCACCATCGAGTGCCACACGGAGCAAAGAACATGAAGATGGGCCGCCACATTGGCTGTGGTTCTGGCGGAGGAGGGGCAGCATAGATCATGGGCTGTGGCGCTGGCTCAGGTGTCACCGAGGTCTGAGGCCAGCAGCATCCAGGAGCGTCTCCCTGGCATAGCCGAACGCTTGCAGTAGTTCTTGGCGGATTGGGGGTCTGATTTTGGCAACGCCTTGTAGTCTGTAATGCATGTAGTAGATTATGCTAGTCAAGTCGCACCAGGTCGTGAAAATTCACATTGGATGTATACATGATCATTGAGTTTGATCTGCGGCCAGGTACTGGGCCTGTGGATCCAGGTCGGGGGCGGATTTGGACCGTCGCATGCCTTAGAGTAAGAAAGCGGGTGCTGTAATTTTCACTTTGTTTCAGGGAAGGGGCTGAAAAGGCTTACTACAGGGCTGGATGAACAACTGCAGTACTGGCGGCAAGTTGCGGTGGTCCTGGGCATCAGAGACCTCTACATGGATGAAGGTGTTTCGGACGTGGACCATGTCTGAGAGCACGGATCCAAAGCGCACCTTCAAACAAAACAGGACAAGAGCAGAAGAGTTGACAAGACAAGGAAAAGGCTGCACTGGCAAGAAAGCCCCTCTTCCCTGCCTCTTGCCAGGATGTCTTTGCTGGGCTGGGTGTGTCCACTTCCGAGGCGGTCGTGGATTTCTCGGCGCCCGTCTTGCAGGCCCAAGGTTGGTGTTGCACACTGAGATATTGACAAAATGGGAACTTTGCACATGTATCTCCCGCCTTGTAGTCCTCCACGGCGACACTTTGAACTTTTCTGTTGGCATGAGTCAGAGTGCCTGGCACTGGAACTTGTTGCCTGGGAACTGCCAACCGAAGCGCAGGCTTTGTATCCGCATCCGAACCAAAACCTTTGTCCAGCATGTCCAGCACCGTTTCTTCCAGCCACAAACCATGACCTGTAGACATGCCAGTATTGCCCTTGCCCTTGCCGCCCTTGCCGCCCTTGCCGCCCTTGCCGCCCTTGCCGCCCTTGCCGCCCTTCCCCTTGCTCTTTCCAGCCGCTGGGCAGTCGCGGACCTCATGGTGGCTCACAGTAACATGCAAATCAAGGTCGACTGCTGCCCCTCCCCGCCACCCACGGGCAGCAAGGCATCGGCTTTTCTCTCCAGAGCTGCGAGCTTGGTCATTTTCCGTACAGCTTCGTAAGCTGCTGTCCTTGGCGAAGGCGGCGGGGGCAACTTGCCCAATCCCAGGCGTGGTCCCCCTTCTTCTTAAATTTCCTTCCTGCGTCAATGGACCCTGTCTAGAATTTATGGGAACGAAACACGGTTGTCTCTTTTCTTACCTCCTTTAAGGCGGTGGAACCAACTCAGTTCCCCCATCCTTCGTTTCATTCAGAAAGATCCCAGAACCGGGGTCTAACAGTGCAACGGAAAAATATTTCCTTTAGTCCGATTTTTCCTTACCAAGGCGCATATCATCCCTGCTCATCCTGGAGTTCCCGGGGTTGAGGTGGGTGCCAAAACTTGAGCCAACATGGCACCACACGGCAGATTCAGTGGTGACAGTGTCAAATCCTTCCGTGCCGCAGCTCATGTGGCATCAACTGCTGCCCCCTCCCAGCCACCCACCGGCAGCAACGCATCTGCTTTTCTCTCCAGGGCTGCGGGCTTGGTCATTGTCCAACAGCTTCGTAAGCTCCTGTCCTTGGCAAAGGCAAAGGGGGCAACTTGCACAATCCCAGGGGTCCCCCCCTCTTCTTGAATTTCCAAATTTTTAGGAACGAAACATGGCGGCTTACCTCCCTTAAGGCAGTGAAACCAACTCAGTTCCCCCACCCTTCCTTTCATTCAGAAGGATCCCAGGGTTCTAACAGTGCAAAAGAAGGGTTGCCCTCATACGGGCATCTCACCCACACGTAATTTAAATGTGATTCCCATTCGTGACCCCTTTGCATGGATACTTGTGCGCCATCCTCTCTTATCTTTCCTTTAGTCCGATTTTTCCTTACCAAGGCACGGCGCATATCATCCCACCTGGTATCCTCGTCGCAGCTCGTCGGGCCGGGTTCAGGCCTCCCGTTGCCACCGGCCTGAACTCCTGCCCTTATTAAGGCGGCCATCACGCTGGATGCCTCTGCTGCGCGCACGAGGGGGTTGTCACGCAAGTAGGTCAGCACTGAGATGGTATAGCGGCATCCCCCCACCGTGCGGAGGACCTCCTCGCTCACTCGCGACTGGGGCGCCCATAGCGCCTCCAGTTACACGGGGACTGCACATCCCAAATCTCTGGACGCCTTGCAGCTCCCTGCCTCAGCGGCCACTCTTTGCCTGGATGTAATCCGGGCTCCCCCCCTGCCTCCCAGCTATTCTTTGCGCTTTCCACTGGTGCGGGAAGAGTAAAGCCGGTCCGCGGATGTGACAGTCCCAGTGCCCTTTGAGGATCGCACTCCGGGGCCAGTCCCTTTTGATATATTTCTCTTCTCACTCTCTCCAGTGACGGGAAAAATGCTCGCTGCGACATCGGTCCTCGGCGGTGAGTAGGTGCCACCTATAGGTCCCTCGTGAAAGTGTCTTTATACTCGTTTAATGATGACAAGGAGGTGACCGGCAGCGAAAGTGCAAGGTAATTGAAGGCATTCACCATGCAGTTGACCCCATCGGCTATTGCGGTGCAGAAAGGTGGCTACCTCTTTCGGATCGATTGGTAAAAGGTCATCTCCTCGGACGGGGGGCGCCCCATCTTGCGAAAACACCTGCGAGAAGTGACCCAACTTGGTTGGCAGCTCTTTGACCTTCCTCCGCATACCTGCCCAAAACTCAGCAGGGCTCCTTGGCTGACTCATCCACCGCCTCCACGACAGTGTCCATGCACCCATTTGGTCATCATGAACGGTCACGCCGACGCCTCTTTTGGCTTCTCCTTCGGAGTGCCCTTTCCTTTGCCTTTTTCTTTCCCTTTCTTTCCGCCTTTTTCGCGGTCTCCTTTCTGATCTCCTTTCGCTTGCTTCTTCCACTGCTCATGTTCTTGAGCTTCATCTCCAACAGCCACTCCCTGTTGGTGAACACCTCCTCGTCGCGTTCCAGCGGGTCCGCCGTCTCGGGGCTCAGCAGCTCTAAGAACTGAGCCGACCCCCAGTGGGAGTCGACTGTAGCCTTCTCCAAGGCTTTCACCCGCTGAGAGAGCAGGTCTGCTGCTTGAGCTTGCGGTGTCAGGCCCACTTGGGCGGGATCTGCCCCCACGGACCCTTGGGACACCCCTCCTGCTGCATTTTGAGCAACATTCTCGAGGCTAGGGGTCCCGGCTTGTTCATCGCATACCTCACCAACTGAAGTTGGGTGGTCGCCTTTCGGTCCGTGGGGGCATCGCGAAAAGACTCACTCTCCGAGTCTGTGGTGTCCCTGAACTTCACCACCTCACCTCCACCACATGGGCCGCGATCCCTGTCGCCGCCAACATCTTCACGACCTTTTCCTCCAAAGAGGGCATCGCCATCACTGTCCGAGCTGGTAGACCTCCTTGACGACGACCTTCTCTTCTTCTTCCCCTTTCTGGGAGGCTCCTCTCCATCTTTTTCCCTTTTCTTGTCACGGGCGGACCCGGTACGGTGCTTTTCCTTCTTCTTCACCTTATCCTTTTCACCACTCGAAGTGGGTGAATGCCGCCTTCTCCCTTTATCTTTCTTTTTGCGCTTCTCCTCCCTGCCTTCCCGAAGCTTCTTTCCCTTCTTCTTGTCCTTGGCCTTGCACAGGCGGCCTTCTATTGCCTTGACAGCATCACGGGCCTCCTCCAACTTTTCCCTCAGATCAGACTTGTCTGGGGACTATGATTCATCCTCCTCAGGCTCTTTTTCTTCTTCACCTGACGAGAGCCAGGGTAACTGTCCGCCCTTCGGAGCCTTGCCGTCCTCCTAGCCCTTCTCCTTGAGGAAGGCGTTCAACATCTTTGCACATGAGCGCCCGAACGCCCAGCCAGGAACCTTTGCTGCAAGCTCCTTGCCACCTATGACCCGGAAGCGCTCGAAGTGGATCCCCTTGGGCTTCTTCAACTCCGGGCAGTCCATTGCCATCACAGCAATAATGGTAGCGGTAACGGCTAGCCAGCGTCTGCCCATCTCCGTCCTTGAACCACCACCTCAGATGGCTGTCCGAAGCCACCACATACTGTCCCTTGAACCAGTGGCCATGGGTGTCTGTCGACACAGGCTCAAGAACGCAGACCAGCATTGTCCCCTGGCCTTTTCCTTCATCTAATGAGTTGACTGGCTCGGAATCGATGACGATACCAAGCCTCACGGCTGTCACCCCCAGCCAGCCACATGGCCAGCTGGGGGGTAAAGTTGCCCTTAAGCCAAGAGCTACAGAGCGGTTCGACATATTATCGCTGTGCTCATTACGCAAGCCATATTTCGACATCACGTAGTGGAATATTTCTATATATATATACATATATATATATGTATCTATTCATATGAAGATACAAATATTCAAGTTGCTACTTTCCATGGGTCTAGTTAAAGTTTGTTCTTGCAAAAGATCAAAGCCATTCACAAGCAAGGATACCGGTCTTACCTCTCTCTCTACAATGCTATTCTGTCGAGACTTTGCAGAACCAAATGATACTATGGAGCAAATAACAAAGCAACAAAAAGAAAATACAACATGGGAAACATCGAAAACATCAAGAACAAAAAAAAAGTATGAATATAAACTGTCATACTGTGTCAAAAAACATCACAAAACACTGTAAAATAGGTGCCCCACAGGGAACCACTCTCTTAATTTAGGGTGAAGGGATTACAATGTAGCATCAGGTGGGCGTGCAAGTGCAAAAGATGTTTTTTTATTTAGTCCTAATGGAATAACCGTGGGGGTCCTACAACAAGCAACCGTCATATATAAGTATATACATGGTTACAGGTATATACCAACAGTTGTCATGGATACGCGTGAACCCTTCACCACAAACCGTCGTTGCAAGCTCCCTTTCACAAGGGATGGTAACCTCTGCTATTCCATCTCCTTGTCTCCTTTCTCTTTTTTAAAAATTCTCAATTCCAAATTTGAAAACTTCATGCATCAAAAATCAAACAGTGCACATGCAAAACCGAACATGACTGCCAACTGTTCTCACTGACAATGAAAAATTGCTGCCGCCTCTCTTTTTCAGCAACGGGGAACACACGGTCTGCTGTCGTCATCGTACGGCAGGGTTAGGCCATTTGTAACGGCAATTGCGGTGCCGCCACGCCAAGATGCGGCGAGCCACCCAGACATCATCTGAGACTCTCTCCATGTACTCGTCCCAAGCCGCCCAGGCTACTGCAGAAACGGAGACTTGGTCCTTTGTTGTAAGAAAATGAGAACACCTCTGTCTCTCCACCGATAACGGTGGACCATGGATGTCACAAGAAGCAAGGAATGCTGACACATTGCATTACGTCGCTGAAGGTCACAAGGAAACTGGAGGATCTGAAAAGTCCTCTGTGATCCAGTGCCACAGTCCATGACATCGTCTGGCAAAATTACAGACATAAGACTGTATATGGACTTCGTTGGGTGGTGGGTGGGTGAATTTTCCCACGACGCAGGTTTGGACCAAACTGCCGGAAGTAAACAGCGTTTCCAAACCCTTCAACATGTCATGTAAATGTGCATCTCACTGAAGAGGAGGAAATAATAAATAAAGGAGGGAGGACAAATCAAACGACCAAGGTTGAGGTGTTTTAAAGTTCACAGCGTGTCAGTTGTTCCACCCCCACTAAGACTTTTATTTAGTAAAAGTCTTTTATTCCAACGGCCAAATAGGGTTACCATCTTTGTTCCAAAGAGTGATAACTTATTTAGTCCTAATGGAATAACCGTGGGGGTCCTACAACAAGCAACCGTCATATATAAGTATATACATGGTTACAGGTATATACCAACAGGTGTCATGGATACGCGTGAACCCTTCACCACAAACCGTCGTTGCAAGCTCCCTTTCACAAGGGATGGTAACCTCTGCTATTCCATCTCCTTGTCTCCTTTCTCTTTTTTTAAAAATTCTCAATTCCAAATTTGAAAACTTCATGCATCAAAAATCAAACAGTGCACATGCAAAACCGAACATGACTGCCAACTGTTCTCACTGACAATGAAAAATTGCTGCCGCCTCTCTTTTTCAGCAACGGGGAACACACGGTCTGCTGTCGTCATCTCCCCCTTTTCCGGAAATCCAGCTGCCTTCCCCTTATGGCGGGCCAGTTGGTCGCCGACTTTAGAGCACCACGATCTCTCAGCCAAGAGTCTTCGTGGCGACTGGGCGCATCCGCTACGTTTGATGCGCTTGGCACTCGAGCGAACCAAGATTTAATCTGTAATTCCATCTCCATGCCAGTAAAAGTTTGAACCATGCCATCAGCAATCTCAGTTGCTCCATAGGCCTTCACAAGGCTGACTTCCCAGCCTCGTTATCCAGGTACCAACAAACCTGAGCCCTCGCGCACTGCGGTCCCCACAGCATGGCAGCCACAAGTACCAGCATCACCTCCAGCTCGAAAATGGGGTTTTTGGACCTGGAAAGAAACAGTGCCATTAAATCCCTGGGGACTTCGGCACCAAAGAACTGCTGCAAGGCCCTATACGGGCTGACCAAGACCCCACCAATGCTGCCAACTTTGTCTCCATCATGCCCTTCACAAGCGCCATCAGTAAAAATTACCCAGGCCAAAAAGGCAGGCAGGAGTCAGCTGCAAGGGAGGCGCCTGCAAGACCCTTTCCCTAAGAGAACGGAGATCCTTGATCTCGCGAGGCTTTAAGTCCACCTGTCGGGTTCCTCGCATAGATAGGTTCCCTAAGGTCTTCACAGCTCCATTGGCAACACGTCCGAAGGCAAATGACTCGAACCAGTGCAGGCGTCCCCTAAGAGACTCCACCTGTTTAGCTGTAACCCCAGAAGCCGCAATGACCTCGTCAAGGACAGCACCAATCTCGTCTCTCCTCTCCGGAGTGTGACCAAGTCGAACTTCCGACTCACAAAAGTCGTGCAAGTCCAGCTCGACCCCCCAACGTCTTGAACCTCTCGAAACACTCGCGGCTTTGTTTCCCTTCACGGGTCACTTCAATTCCAAGCAGGTCAAAAAGGTTGTCTATCGTCTTAAACGTATTTCTGAATTAAAAAGTCTCTGCTGAAAACCGTATAGTCATCGAAGTATGCTGTCCAAGGCAGCCTGAACATCACCAGGCCCACATACCAAACTGCTAAACTGCCACGTAAAAACCCACCAACCGATCCTGAGGCCCCGAATGGAAGACTGTTCTACCCAAACAATGCCACTGCGTTCTCTTCAGGGTTTTTGACTGCCAAGCGAACCATTTATCTGTCACCTGCTGCTATGCCATATTGTTTGTACGCATGCTTCATGTCATACGTCCTTCCAGACAAACCTTCCAGTTTAATCCCTTGTTCACAGCGTTGCAACATCCAAGTTAAAAAGGCGGCTGTCTCATCAATGGCATGCACCTTATACTTCTCAACCACACCCCATGCGCCATTGATTCCTCCTATCGTGCAGGCATCAATACCCCTCAATTTCCCTCCACGCTGTAGGAGGCCAAAACGTTTTGCAAGGAGCACCTGACCTGTTCTGGATTCATGACCCGGCCCGATGTACCCAAGAGCTACTTCTTCCTGAGTTTTGGCCCAAGTCTGCTGCTCAATCTCATCTTGTTCACCGTCTGCTGCAAGCTGACTGGCGATGGCCTTGTTCAACCCTTTTGCAAGTTTCCGCAAAGTCTCCACTGAAAAATGTGGTCTCTTGATGCACGTCGGGAAAACACCCGTCTTCTTTTGCCAACCAGTTAAAGAGAAAACCTCCAGCTATGTCGTTGACCAGATCTTTATCTGGATATCCCAACTCCTCAAGCATTTCCCTCAACACCAACAAGCGTTTGTTCTGCAGCAAAGCCCTCAAGTGCCCAGGCATGGCCAGTTTAAACTTCGCCTCATCATCAACAAGTTGTTTTGCTCGCATTGTCCACTTAGTTAACTGTCTACACCTATTCAAAGCAACCACTGCTGGCGGCATTGCCAAGTTGTCCTCTAGTACCTGAGTCACAACCTCATGTAGACGTAGTGACATGCCCCTCGGATGCCCACACGCAACAGCCCTATTGCAAAAAAAAATCTTCTGGTGACCGTTGGATTCCAAATTGTGATGCCGTTACCACCTGTTCATCTGCAAACTTTGCAACTGACTCATGGTAAACTGTTCCATCAACCCGAAACTCACCCCTCTTGGTTACCCGTTGATGGACCAACTGTGCACCTGCAGGCAATTTAAGGTCTTGTTCTTGCACATGGCCATGATGCAACACAGTGTTGTATGTACCATATTCAGAAACCAGAGGCCTGAACTTCTTACCCCTGGGTAAGGCTCCCATGATGAGCCGGTGCATGGACGGCTGCTCTGCCTGCTGCTGTTGCTGCAATTCTTCCCCATGCAGCGCTCCCATCTCCAAAAGCGCTGCTCTGAAAGACTCTGCTAATTGCTGACAAAGTAACTTCGGATATGCCGCTTCAGGCTTGTAACCCCGGGCTCAGTGCACCAAAAACTTCGTGCTCTTCTTCCTGGCACCACCATGACAACAACTATCAAAAACCACATCATGTCCCCCTAGGTCCCGTACCAGCTCTGCAATGCACAGTACCTTCCAGAAAAGGCTGTTTATAGGGTTCTCAATTGTGCAATCACCCCCATAGCGTGTAGTTTCCGAAGCAGTTGTGCAATGACCTTGTACACATCGTTTGCAGCTTCTGTTCGGATTTTGTCCAAACCAGTTAAAGAAGGCAAACCCAGAGGAAACTCATTGGATCTGCAGGGCTTAGGCACCTTGAACCCCGCTCTCTCCAGATTCTTGTTACGTTTTTTCCCGTGCTCGTGATGCTGTACCACAAGCGGGCGCAAGATGCACACAAGCTAGGGAGTCTTGCTCCGCTTCTAAAAGGCCTGTAGATTGCTAAGCTCCGCGGCACCTGTGACATCACAAACGAATATGCGTGTTCCTTGCGCCCTTTGGGTGGTCTTGT